TTTTTAATTTAGTGAAGCTAGGGTTTTGGTTTGGTATATCAGATTAATGAATCTGATATGTAGGTTCGAAAGAAAATTATTAGTGAACCTTGTTAAACATGTGATTTCTATTAACGAGCTTGATACATAGGTTCAAATAGGGCTGAGTCATCGTTGCAATATAAAAATGCTGCTTAGTTGGATCAAAAGTTAATGGATTTAAACTACTAAGCAAAATTTTCAAGTTAAACTCAGTAATTGACTATGATTCTAATCTTATATCTAATTATCTAAAAAAAAAAACTATGTAAAAAGTCATTTTTCTAGTTAGATTACAATACAGCTCGAATGAGAAAAATTGCCAACCTCTCGTTGGAAATAAAATTTAATCAATGATAGAAATTAATTATTAATGTTGGACCCAAATCTATGAACGTTGACTCGAATATTCATCATTTTTAAGATTGTTATGATTGTTGTTGTATCTGTATTGAGAAGATGCGACAAAGTGTTTGGATCATTGTGCAATGCCTTAATCAAGTGTCCAGTGGCATGACAAGCCGATGATCGTAACTATGTCCACCATCACCCATTCCAAAGTGCCTCACCGGGCCACACCAAATTCCATCGGCTAAATAAAGAGTGCAAAACACAACATTTTTAATATATAATCAATCATTAATTTGATGGTTTAATGCTGCTGGATATGTTTAATTAATTTTTTGTAAATATAAAATGTTTTGGATCATCTTCTTCAAGTTTATGTGGCTAAATCTTAATCATTGATCTGCATCAGCCTGAAAATTTAGTAATGAATATTCTGAATGTAATATGATTTGGGCGTTTGGTTGGTCCACCAATATTTTCAACTTTATTTGCATGAATAATAATTCGGTTTTATTATTATTAGGTCTACAATTTGTGCATATAATTAGTGATATTGGAATGCTAATAATTGTATTAGCGCATACTGTTTTTTTTTGTTAGGTCATGATATCATTAACGAGTCCTTTGTAAGTTTTAGATGCTTGTGTGTATTTTGCTCTACGTAAACTCTAATTTGATTCACGAGTAAGAAGTTTCGAGTTAGAAAGTCTGTTTATAAGAACAAACTATGTGGAGTAAATGGAATCAAAGCAGGCAACAACCATCAAATGATTCAATTCAAAATCATACTAAGACTTATTTGGAAGTTCTTATAAATGACTAAAAGCGTTTTTGATTTTAGTAAAAATATTTTTTGAACTAATTCTTAGCAAATTTAAAAGTGAATCATGAAAAAACACTTACATTATGTTTGGATGAGGAAAATAAACTTGGAATTCAGATAAAAGTCAAAATTTATAAATTGATATGCATCAATTCTCTTGTTTGGATTCATAAACATAGAAATTTAGAATTTCTGCATGCAAAAAGATCTTGGAATTTAAGACCTCCAATTCCCAAGTTTAAATTCCATGTAAATAGGTGTCATTTCCCAATTTCTATGATTGAGAGTTCAAAAATAACAAATTCCATATTCAATTCCATTGTTCTTTTAAGTTAACCAAACAAGAAAATTCATAAATTATAGAAAATAAAACCCTGTCATTTCAATTTCCGTCATTTTAAAATTCTTTAGTAATCTTAAATCTGTTCATCCAAACATAGTGTTAAAGTGCTTCCTACAAGAAGCACATAGCTGATGCTTCTTGCATGAAAAATAGGAAGCACATTCAAGTGATTTTGGAACCCAAATTTTGTATTTTTTATTTTGTTGTAAAAGCTAGTTCAATCATTTTAAAAGTACTTCCAAACAAGCTCTAAATACATTTAGAAAAAAAATCATGCTAAATAAGACAATCATCTTCTACATGTCCGTTGTCCACTACAACCAAATCCATCCTTTTCAACCCTACAATTTCTTTCTTGCTCCACACTTTACACTACCATGTGACAAGTTTATCTCTAAGTGTCCGCTAATAAGGGAGTAACGCTGTACCAATGTCGATTGTATTGAAGCAAAGATTCTACTGCGTAACCAAGGATATATTATTGTAAGATAATCTAATTTGATATTGGAGAGACATGAGCCTGTTGCTCTAGTAGTGTCGAATTCCACGGACCATGTGTTAGTTAGCATGGAGTCTTTTCAAAGGACACCTTCCACCACCTACCCAATCTAATATGAAATATATCATGGACTTGGAGACTTGAATTTTGGTCTTTTGTCTGCCATTAATGGCTCCCATCGATTTTGCATCCATTAACGCTCACAAAAATTGTGCTGCAACATGAACTCACTTGTCTTTGTCCCTCTCCTGATTTCTGACCTCTCATTGCTGGCTCTAACTTCCGTTACCCTTCCCACTTCAGCAAAAATCGAAGTTTTGGGCACGGTTGTCTGGCATCTGCGTTGCATAAGGCATCACACTCGTAGACGGACACTCTAAATAAGATAGCATTGTTATCTTATTGTGAGTGTGTTGTCTTACACATCAGCCGTAATCAAGATATTGATTAGAGTATGTCGCGTAAGATAACACATTCACAATGTAGCATAACCATGTGTGTGGCTCCCAAGGTCGTATCCATAAAGGCCAAAGTTTTCAATTTTATTAAGGATAGTGCTATCCACACGCCTCTTTTTACCTTTCACACAATCCTCATAATTTCCAATCGTTTACTCGAATAAATTGAAAAATGTCAAAAGATATAAATTATCAAAGTTGTGTGAGAGATAAATGTATGGATAACATCACCCCTTTAACAATCAAGTAGGAGCCTAAGGTTTGTGCAAGAAGCACTTATGCTCACAAGCACTTGGTTATTTAAAAAAAAAAAAAATCAAATACTTTTCTAGTTTTGGAGGTGCTTCACCAAAAAAGGATAATTTATTAAATTTTTCATTAATTTAAATCATGTGACTTGCATGTGTTTAAGGACTTATCTTTTTTTTTTTCTTCGAAAAAAAGAGTACAAAGTTAACTTGGAAGAGTAAATTAGAAATTAGATTCGCAACCAATATGCAACGTTAAGGGCATATAGGCGAGGAAGTGATGGTATTAGCTTCTAATATGTGTTACGTGCAAGTCACGTGACTTAAGTTGACGAAAAATAGGTTATAATAGTTTTAAATATAATAGTAAGGATGAAATTAGCAATTTTTAATGAATTTAGGGACTTGTTTTACCCAAAAAAAAAGTTTTAAAACCTAATTTTCACTCAGGTGATAATCCATAAATTAATCATCAGTTAACCCAAAATTTTATTGTCATTTTTGAGATATGAAGGACATGAGTTGGACTAAAGCTTGGACCATTATTGAAGGCTTGCCTAAGTTGCCTTTTAACTCTTTCAATTGACATATATCTAAAACTGTAGCTTTATAGTCGCGTCACGTGTAGAGTTAGGTTAACACACTGAGATATACATTCAGCTAGAAGATAAATTGTATGATATAAATTCTCGTACAAGCTACATTTGAGAATCGAAAAATGGGTATACCGGAAGCTCGTCAAGTATACAGAACAAAGAACCCTATTTTACTTTCAATACTCGACTACATGTGGAGTTGGGTATCGTTTGGTATGCAGACGGGACGGAACGGAATGGAACGGGATGGGACGGGACAGAACGGAACGGAACGGAGCGGGAGCAAAGATGCCCTCGGATGGAAACAAGGAGGAAGAAGAAGGAGACGGAGAAGTTATAATTTTGTGTTCCACGGATGTGGAACGAGTCGTTCCAGGGGGTGAGGTGGAACGAAAATTCACCCAAAATTCGTCCCGTGGAACAGCTCGTTCCACCCGTTTTAGGCGCACCAAACGTGGGACGGAACGCCTTGTCCCACTCTGTTCCGTCCCGTCCAACGTACCAAACGGTACCTTGAAGAACCCTAATAAACCCATCATCAAGAATTCTATTGTCACGTTTTCACTTTTCAGTTTGTCGGTACCAAGATTTAAGCCAAGAAGATGAAGATCATCGGGAAAATATCAACAATTGCCAATGATTCTTCCATGTTGTTGTCAATCCTGCTCACACCAACAAGACAGATTAAGAACAATGGACCATGAACGAGCGTATGCAAACAGCATCCAGTTTTAGTGATGGCTTCGAATTCAACACCATTTGATGGTCCCGCAAGCAAAAAGAGCAAACCTGATGGCAAGTTCCCCTTGTTTTTGTTAATTGAGAAATCATCCAAGTTGCCGAAGGGCCGATCCTGCCTCGTTACCTGCTATCCCGAACTCGGAAATAAAGGAGAAAACGTTGCACTTCTAAAAAGGAAGAAGATGACTGAAAGCTACAAGCATTTCAGGCATGAAGAACTGATGAAGTTGACCAGGGAGCAGGTGCGGTCACACTTTTTGCAGGATTCCGAAAAAGGCTTCTTTCTTTGTGCATTTGTGGAAAATATCTGCTTCCTGTTCTCGTCGTGAGCGTTGATATTCTGAGGGGACAAATATCGTAGAACCCTAAGGAAACTAAGACGTGTGCGTGGACTGTGTAGGACATGCAAAAAAGACGCACTAACCTCTGTTCTAGTGGTCATCAGACTCATCACACCTTGAAGCTGTTTGGTAGCCCCCGTAACGTCCATCAACTATTTCCATGTTTTTAATGGTTTGCAATTCCGTAAAGTGCTTCTTGAAAAAGCATCGTGCATGTGCTTTTCTAGAAAGAGCTTCAATAACCAATAAGCACTTCAAACCCATTCCAGAAGCAATCCCAAACAGGCCCTGAGGTTTCTATGTAAAATTTTCGGTAAGATTATTCTTCAAATGCAATACCATCGGTTCGAAAACTTGGCTGAATTCGCAACTTATTTTTGGGCCTATTAAAGGGTCAAGTTTCACTTGGGCCTATGACTCTATGAGCCCAATTCTTAATTAAAACCAAAACGGCCCATCCATCACAGCCATCAGATCGAAAAAAACAAAACTAATTTACAACCGTCCGATCTAGGTTTACATATCTCCTTCCCTCCACCCCACTATATAACCCCTCACTATCAACAGTTTTCCTCTTCCTCCCGCCTCCAAGCTTTCTAGGTTTTCTTAGTTCCTCCAAAACCCTAGTCTTTCAGTAAAAAGAGAGGTTAAAGGACGGCACCGTCGCTGTCCGCCTTGACAGAGCCGCCGCTTCGTCTTGGCCCTCGGTTTTGGTCTTGCTCTCTTTCCCAAACTTCCAATTTCCACTAATCTCACAAGCCCTAATCCCCCTAAATCGCAATGGCCCCTAAACCCTCCAAGGCCGAAAAGAAGATAGCCTACGATTCCAAGCTCTGCTCCCTCCTCGACGAGTATGGCCAGGTCCTCATTGTCGCCGCCGACAACGTCGGCTCCAAGCAGCTCCAGAACATCCGCAAGGGGTTGCGCGGAGATTCCGTCGTTCTGATGGGGAAGAACACGATGATGAAAAGGTCCGTCAGGATCCATGCGGAGAAGACGGGCAACAGTGCTTACCTCAACCTCGTCCCTCTCCTTGTGGTACGTTTTTTGGCTCCATTTGTGGTTGCTGATTTGTTTGTATGAGTTGGTTTTCTGATTTGTTGTTGTTTTTGGGATTTAGGGCAACGTCGGTCTGATTTTCACAAAGGGTGATTTGAAGGAAGTCAGCGAAGAGGTTGGCAAGTACAAGGTAACCGAATTCAATTTCCTTTTTCGTTGTTTGAATTCATGATATTATCAATGTTAATGCGTTTTAGTGGTTGTAGTGATTTAAGATGCTTATTGTGTTATGTGAAACTGTAATATGTAATTGTTTGTTGTGTAGATTTCAAATTGGTATGAAATTTAGTGTATTTATGATCGATACGAAACCCTATTTGTTGAATTACCCGTAAGAGTAAAATTATGCTGGTTTTGCTGTTTTCGAATGTTTTTAAATCCAACGAGACCATTTACTTTCAAATATGATTATGTACATGGTTAAGCATTTTGGTCTGTTGTGTATGCCTAAGTTCATGCTATTATTATTATTTTGCATCTCATTTGTAATGTTTTGTATTGCTTATTGTATAATAGAACATGATACGTTGGTACAATTGGGCTAGACTCGGCGCTGATTTTCTGCTAACCAGGGTTTTAGTCTGCACCTCTGTATCTCAGTTCTATGCCTATAAGCAAAATCTGGCTCTTTTTTTTACTTCATATCTTTAGGTTTTTTAATTTTTTTAGAAGATTCTCTTTTCTCTACAAACTTTGATGGTTTCGTTTTGAATTTGTGATGGGGGAGATTGATCCATCCCTAACTGGGCAGTTAACGAGCAGGTTACTTATGCCTTTATATTCCCTAAGTAAACGTCGCATATGGATTGCTGTTGATGTCGATGGTCCTCCCTGCTTTGGTTGGGAGCTCCTCCATTGACGGTGTTGTCACATCCCATCGCCTTGTGGAGCAGTATCATTGCTTTTACTACTTGGGCATGCCCAAGATACCTACATTTTTCAGGAAAAAAAAAACTTTTCAAAAAATTATTCTAGAGTTACTTCTTCTCAAGTATACCTTAACAAAAGGTGACATCTTTTTTTGACTTAGATGATTATACATGGGTTTAGTTTGCCTCATGATATTTTTTTGTTAATCTTGCAATCGATCCCATTTTGTTTATGTGTTTTACTATATCTATCTAATTGCTAGCTGTATTTAATTTTGAATTGAATAGGTTGGAGCCCCTGCTCGTGTTGGTTTGGTTGCTCCAATTGATGTGGTCGTTCCTCCTGGTAACACTGGGCTTGACCCATCTCAGACCTCTTTCTTCCAGGTGTGTAAATAATCGTTCACAATAAATGGTGATTACTTTTTTGTGGGTGTGGTAGTTCTGACTTGGTATATTACGCATTTCAGGTGCTCAACATCCCCACCAAGATTAACAAGGGTACTGTTGAAATCATTACCCCTGTTGAACTTATCAAGAAGGGAGATAAGGTTGGCTCTTCTGAGGCTGCCCTCCTTGCCAAGCTTGGAATCAGGCCATTCTCATATGGTCTTGTTGTCCAGATGGTGTATGACAATGGTTCCGTCTTCAGCCCAGAGGTGCTTGATCTGACCGAGGATGATCTCATGGAGAAGTTTGCTTCTGGTGTCTCGATGGTTACTTCATTGGCATTGGCCATCTCATACCCCACCCTGGCAGCTGCACCACACATGTTCCTCAATGCTTACAAGAACGTGTTGGCAGTTTCTATTGCCACCGAATATTCCTTCCCACAAGCAGAGAAGGTCAAGGAGTTTCTCAAGGTATTGTGCTATTTTTCAACTGTTTGTGTCCATTTGCTTTTCGTCATTGCTCGTTTCAGTTCATTCTTGATGGCAAGTGATTAATTGTGGGTTAACAATGCAGGACCCAAGCAAGTTTGCAGTTGCTGCAGCCCCTGTTGCTGCTGCTGCTTCCGGAGGTGCTCCAGCAGCTGCTAAGGAGGAAGAGAAGAAGCCCGAGCCCGAAGAGGAATCCGATGAGGAAATGGGTTTCAGTTTGTTTGATGATTAAGAAGCTATGGTTCATAGCTGAACTTGAGAGTGGAAATTCACATTTCGTGGTTTAGTTTATTGCCGGGCACTATCATGTTTAATTTTTCTAATGTCGGATATAATGTTTTTGGTAGTAGTGTGTTGGATATTTTGTTTATTAATATAATGTTTAGTTTGTTTACGTTGTGTACCATTTATTTAGTGGTGTCAAGAACCTGTTGAGAATATTTCAGGCTGAGACTACAGTAAGTAATATTTAGTGCTTTTTGGAAAAGCACTTGGTAATGCCTCTTGCATTTGCGTAGTGTTATCTAGCCCAGATTACACGTGTTACAAAATCCCTTCTTCGCGAGGCAATAACAGGCGGCGACCAGGAGCAGCGTCGTTCATTTTCATCCACTCTTTCTGTTATCAGTTCTTTTTGCCCGTCATTATCATACCAATGGCTCCTCCGGGATCGTCCTAATTGGATCGTCCTAATTCATTAAGTTCGGTGATCTGGATCGGTGAAATTTAATTCAACAGCTATAAACAGGAATTTACTTTAAAAGTTATAATAATTTTAGCTATTAGATCAAATTTTAACTGCCTAAATCTCCGAACTTAATGGATTAGAAGTAAGGGACTCGTTGGCACGCATCAGCCTACTTTAACATGGCGGTAATCTTAGCGTTCATAACAATCTACATACCGCTGCGCTCCCAATCCAACGACAAAAACCCCCAACCAGGCTGCTGGGTTGTCGCTGAGCAGCGCCGACGGCGTGGACCTCTGTTTCCCCAAATCTCGACCTGAGCAGCCCCGATGTTGTGGGGTTGGAGCGCTGCCGTGGGTCTGCCGTGTGACGGTGTCATGAGTCAGGGGTTTCGGTCTAGACGGGTTGTGGGTTAAGAGCAGCGTGGGTTGGGTGGTGGTCGATGAGTGGGTGGGTGGGTCGAGTGATTTTCAATCCAATCCTAAGCCCATTGTGTTAGTCCACACCAAACAGTAGACGAATAGCCTAACCTAGCCTAACCTATCCCATCTAATCCTAGCCTAACCAGTCCAAAATATCAAATCTTATCCAATCTAGCCCACCAAATGTGACTTGAAGTTAGGAAATTATCCGGATCATTTCCATTAAATTCATCTAATCATTTAATCGGGACATTTGAAATTTGATTCAACAGTTAAAGTTATTATAACTTTCAAAGGAGTCTCATCTTTGTAACCGTTAGATTAAATTTTAAGAGCTCGGATTGATTGATTGAGTAGATTTGATGAAAGGAATCTAGAATCCTAAAGTTATTATTTTACAAGTACACGAAGGTGTGATAGGGGTCTTTTGGTAGTGTGTATAAATGCTTTCGAGAATGAAATACATTATGTTTTAGTTTTACGACTTTCTGGTACTAAATTGGTGATACGATAACAAAGTCCCAACTAATTGCACAGATTAGATGGGAAGATGATTAGCTAGGCAGGTCAACCCCTGTGGTCCCACTACCCATCTTCATTTGACAATACTCTGATACACGTTCCGCTTCAAATGTTTGCAAACATAAACTAAGCTCTCATTTGACTCTCGGATATCGATATCGTGTACAAGGGGGTCTGTATGTTATCCTAGTAACTGGCTGAATCGACATCCGCAACAGCTCGTATATCATTAGAATTTTGAATTTTAAGATGCAGACTGACGAAGAACATAATGTGATGAACTTGTGCAAAGGTAGGGTTAGCTTGCTCCTTTCATGGCTCAATCTTTCCCAATATTAGGTCCCTCTGGTCCCCTTAGCCCCATGCTACTGTTTTTTTTTTTTTTTTTTTTTTTTAATGATCATTTGACTTGCAAAAGACAGGAACAACGGTGGCCATCCCCTCACGTAATGTCTATCCACATAAACCACGAACGGGGCAGGCACGCTGGTCTTTATTTCCTTAAACTAATGTTTACATTAATCAATTCAGACCCTTTTAGTCTCAATACATTATTATTTTAATATACTTTTGAGATTTATGGAGGTGGGGTAGGTCATGAGTATTGTTTAAAAGGAATTTTAACGAAAAAATTTTGGTACTGTTCATTTTAACGAAAAATCATATTTTCACACTAAAAAGTCAATCATGATACTATTCACTTTACTTTTTATTTTGATGTAGTTGAAAATATTCATACGTATATGAAAATATTGTTGGATATATCAATGTCAATATCGGTTGCGTTCGACGAAAATTATGGAAATTTGTAATTGCTGAGTATATCAACTCATTTAGATCTAGTTGAAATTAGAGAAACACTTCTTAAAAATAAAAAAAAGTTCAAAATTTTGAAATATGTAACGGTTCCTACATATTTTATTTCGTGAATCGGTAAATGTATCTAAATTTATTGATTTTTCTGTATCTTGCCTATGTAGGTTGAAGTTTGCATTTTACTCCCCTACCGTATCGATTCTTGATTTTTTAGATATTTCGACAAAAATAACAACAATTTCGTGAATATTTTAAATAATGGTTATGAGTCAAGAAGCATGAACAACCAACAAAATGTCCACGCAAAAAAAAAATTCTTAATCTTAACTAGAACGAGGTTTTTAATCTAGGAGTGGCAAGTGGTTGATTAATGACGTTGGTGTTTAAAGTTTAATGCGCTAATCTTGTATGAGTTTGAGTTGTGCACGTCGCGGGGTGCAAAGTTATAATCTTTGTTCCAAATTTCTTGTGCTGGGAATCTTTTGGTGTTGCTTGTCGTGCACTATGATGATTGATGGGACAATAAAATGGTTTTGTGAATTGTGACTTGGGTTTGGGATATTGTTATCATCCGTGCAATATTATCCAAGCACGCTAAGAATTTTAAGAACAAAAACATTGTTCTGTTTTGTAATGGTTTGATTGTTTTCAACGATCAATTTCAGATAATAATGTCGATACCATTATAAAAGTGATTCTTTATCTTAATAATCTGACCTTTTCCATCGTGGAGTATTATCAGTTTATTCATGTTATATCATATAAGTTTCGTTATTATTAATATAATAAATAGTTGCACGATCCGTTAATCAAACATAAAACAACACGAAAATAACAAATTTCGGGTGAACTCATTAACAAGTTGGGACGTTATTGGGTTCCCCGTTAAGAACTCATTAACGAGTCCGGTTATGTGTTAAGAATCTGGTAAGATATTGTTTGCTAGATCTATACATTAGATATAACAATTTCTTGCTTGACGTGTCAATCCGACACGAAACGACACGACCCGTTAACGAATCAGGTCGTTACTAGGTCACATGTTAAGGACTCGTTAAAATAGCATGTTTGACACAACACAACCCATAAACTAATGAGTATGACACTACAAATGACACGAATACGACAAATACGACCCTTTTACCACGTCTAGATGACACCTTAACTATTGCTAATTGATTTTAAAGAAAGTTAGTATTATGACTTATGAATTAGTAATATTATGTGAACACTCTGACCGTTAATCCGAAAACTTTCTCATCATGATGCTCAAAGAGCTAATAAAAATGAGCTACAATGGCATACAATTGAATAGAGGTCAATTTGTTTTCTTTTGAGTTGATTTGTAACGGTGCTATTTTGTTGGTATAATTCTAAGTCACACAACGTGAACGTGGACTTAGGCAAACTGATGGCTAGAAAATTGGTCGACCTAATCTTTTTCTTTGACGTTGGTCATTTTTCTTAGTTTCTTCTAGTTAGAAACTAAGAATATTAAAATGTTCTAGACCCTAGCTAAAATCTCGAAATATGTTACTTTTAGTCATTCACAGGTATTTTCGTTCATAACGTATTTTTTTATTTTTTTTGTAGTTTTTTATTTATTGTTTGAGACGTTTGAATTATAATATTAGATATATTTAAAAAACTACAATAACATCGCCAACAAATTTTTTTTTTAACTTGGTACGATGTAATGTGAACAACTGAAGGTAACATGTTTTATAACGTCTTACATAGATTCCGATTCAATCCTATCTAAAGAAGTGGATAAAGTTGGGGGCAATCCCTAGCATCCGGTGCATGATAGCGAATAATCCCCCACTTTCTGCCTCAAAGCATGCTTCCTTGCTAGGAAACCACTCCTAGCCCACAGTTGACTTTCCTCCCAAGGTCAAATAAAGCAACATCAACGACAAAAGTATATATTAGATATTAAAAAATAATCAAAATACAATTTTGTGCTTGTATTATTGGCTCCCAATAAAAATGGTTACATGCACTCACGATTGCAACTATCTACTCGTTTCGTGAGCTCTTGTTTAGCCCACCATAAGCTGTTGGACATTTATCCATATCGAAAACCGGCCGATTTTCTTAAATCTAACTAAACAACACCGTATAGCTTATTGGTTGATTAATTCAACTTCATTTTAAATTAATCCTGCAATGCAAGAAAAGTTATCTTTTTCTGATCGAAAAATCACAATTTCGAATCGTGGAAATAGCCTTTTTGAAAATCAAGGATAGGACTACATAAAATAAATGTTTTTCTTGATTCTTGCAAAGCAAGAGTCTTATTAACTTAAAGTTACTTTTTTCTTTAAAAAAAAAATCTATGCCTCTGATGATCCGTCTACTTATAATATACTTCACATTTATTACACATTCTACTCGAAAAATAAATTCAAACTCTTATGTAAAAAATGAGTAAATTAATTCTAAATAATATGGTTACGCTTGGTTTGCAAACTCTGTGTATGTTGAGTGCAAATACAAGGACCCAATTTTACGTCCAACTTTTTTTTTTTTTTAAATAATTAAACACCAAACTTTTTTTGGCTTTTGGTTGCTTTTGATGGGGTGGGCATATCCAGACTACCATACGTGCACGAGAACTTAACGGCTAAGCCAACTAACCATACCCATCCCGACTGTCACCCGTCGTCGGATCATACAACTCCACCACCACCACTAGTGTACGGCCAGCATGGCTGCATCCTAGTGGCTTGTTAGGCACCGCCGCACAACAGTGATGATCCCACGTGTCCCGCGCACCTGTGAAGTGGGTAGCTCACGTGACCGCCACACCACGTGTCGGGAGGTGGGGGCACGTCTCACATGGTTAACCCCGCGTGATTTGGTTGGCGACCAAAAAGCGTCGCCGAGTTGGAAGGCACTTAGATTGAGTCTCGCTTTGGTGCGCCAGCGGGTAGCGGACGCGTG